CATAAAGTCTTTTTCTGAGAATTTTACAGGGTTAGCAGACATTTAGGGCCTCCATCCATTTTGAGCTCATTCTGTACATGGTGTGAGGTAAGGGTACATTCTTTTGCATGGGGATGTCCCATTTTCCCAGCACCGTGTGTTCCCCATACCTTTCCCTTTGAATGGTCTTAACACCTGTCATTTGACTATACACTGAGTGGCCAGATTATTATGATCTCTGAACCCATAATAATCTGGCCATTCATTGTGTGTGTGTGTGTGTGTGTGTGTGTGGCCAGGTGCACAAGGGTGTGTGTCCCTCAGCCCACCCTGTCAAATCTGGGACCCATCAAAGGATGTCCTACTGTTGGTTCACAGGGATCGGGCCTAAACCAATGGTCAAACAACCCTCTCACAATCTGGGACTGCTGGCTCCTACCTGCTCATCTGCCTGCCTGCCTGATTGCCCCTAAACACTCTGCTAGCCGGCCTGCTCGCCCCCAAATGTCCCCCCGCCAGCCTGATCACTCCCAATTGCCCCCCGTGCCAGTGTGCTTGCCCCCAATTGCCCCCGCTGCCAGCCTGCTCACTCCCACCTTCCCTCCCCACTGGCCTACTCGCCCCCAACTGCTCCCATGCTGGCCTGCTCACTCCAAATTGCACTCCCTGCTGTCCTGATCACCTCCAACTGACCCCCCTGATGGCCAGCTTACCTCCAACAAACCCGCCCCCCACCAGCCTGATCACCCACAATTGCACTCCCCTCTTGGCCTCTAACTGCCTCTACCTTAGCCCTGCCATCATGGCTTTGTCCAGAACACATGTGTCAAACACAAGGCCCGCGGGCCAAATCCGTCCCGCCAGGCCTTGCAATGTGGCCCGCACCGCGCTGTCATCACTGCACTCCGCTGCGTTTCCATCACAATGACAGTTTATGACTGTTCAGTAAACCATTCGGCCTGCGGTTTAGGCTGGATTTTAGATTTTGGCCCCTTCTCTGATTGAGTTCGACACCCCTAGTCCAGAAGAATGTCTGGAAGGTCTCCCGGATGGTCTCCCTGTCTAATTAGCATATTACCCTTTTATTAGTATAGATAGAGGCCTGGTGCACAGGCGGGACCCAGCTAGTTTTCCCTGAAGGCTGTCCCAGATCAGCGTAGGAGTTCCCTTGGGGCATGAGACGGCTTGGGCAAGGGGCCTGTGGTAGTTTGCAGGCCAGCCACACCCCCATGGGGTGAGGGTCCCTCTGGGGGGGTATGGCCAGCCTGGGAGAGGGGCTGAGGGCCATTTTCAGGCTGGCAACACACCCTTCAGGGTGGGGGTCCCCTCTGGGGTGCCTGGTCAGCCTGGCTGAGGGGCTAATGGCTGTTTGCAGGCTGGCCACACCCCCCAGTGACCCAGTCTCCCAGCCCCTCCCCCCCCTTTTTTTTTTTTTCCATTGCCTCCTTGAGCTGGAAGCAGGTATCTGGGATTTATCTTATATAATTAAAACTTTGAGCAGAGGCCAGGGCAAGCCAGGGCAGCGGGAAGCTTGGCTTTCTCTATCACTGGAGGCAACCCAAGCCTCCTGCTCTCTTCAGCTCCAAGGCCACCGCCATCTTTGTTGGGTAATTTGCATACTTGCTCCTGGTTGGCTGGTGGGCATAGTTGGCTGGTGGGCACAGTCAATTTGCATCTTTCTCTTTTATAAGACTAGAGGCCCAGTGCACAAAATTCATGCACAGGAGAGGGGGTGTCCCTCAGTCTATCCTGCACCCTCTCCAATCTGGGACATCCCTCTCATAATCCAGGACTGCTGGCTTCCAACCACTTGCCTGCCTGCCTGCCTTATTGCCCCTAACTGCTTCTGCATGTCTGCCTGATCACCTCTAATCACTCCCCTGCCAGCCTGATCAACAACTAACTGTTCCCCTGCTGGCCCAGTTGCCCCTAACTGCCCTCCCCTTCTGGCCTGGTCATCACTAACTGCCTTCCCCTGCTGGCCTGGTCACTGCCAGCCTGGTTGCCCTTAACTGTCCTCCCCTGCAGACCTATTTGCCCCAACTGCCCTCCCCTGCTGGCCTGGTCACTGCTAACTGCCCTCCCTTGCCAGCCTGGTCGCCCCTAACTGCCCTCCCCTGCCGACCTGGTCATCCCCAACTGCCCTCCCTTGCAGGCCTGGTCGCTCCCACTGCCATCCTCTGCTGGCCTGGTCTCCCTAAACTTCCCTCCCCTGCTGGCTGATTGCCCCTAACTGCCCTCTCTTGCAGGCCTAGTTGCCCCTAACTGCCCTCCCCTGCCAACCTGGATGCCCCTAACTGCTCTCTCCTGCTGGCCTGGTAACTCCCAATTGCCCTCCCCTGCAGGCCTGGGTCCCCCATAGCTGTCCTCCCCTGCAGGCCTAATGGCCCCACTTGCCCTTCCCTGCCAGCACTCTTGTGTCCACATGGGGGCGGCCATCTTGTGTGTTGGAGTGATGGTCAATTTGCATATCACCTCTTTATTATATAGAATTAAAGGCCCGGTGCATGAATTCGTACATGGATGGAATCTGGCCAACCTGGTCAGGGGAAAGGACATGGGTGGTTGGCCGGCCTGCCTGCTGGTTGAACTCTGCATATTAGCCTTTTATTACATAGGATATATACTGAGTGGCCAGATTATTATGCATTCAGAGATCATCATAATCTGGCCACTCAATGTATATGTTGACACAGTGGGGGTTACAAGACAGTGTGACTTTGTACAACTGCACACATGGTTTCATTGTGTGTAGGGCTTGAAGCCACTTCCTCCACTTACCTGCTGTGAAAGGTGGGGAGCGCGTACCTTCCTGCACCTCCCTTTCGTGTGGCCTGGGTTGAGCTGTGCGGAGTTAGAGCACTGTGGCCCCAGGCTTGGGCTCCTCGGGCTGGGTGCTCTGTGGCCCCATCATCAGATGTGGTGCTTGTGGCAGCGGCCCAGACCTGTGAACCTGAGCATTCTGCGAACACTCATACCTACGACTGTCCCTCTGCCCAGATCCGCCTTGGCTGTTGGCATGAGTGTCCCCACTCAGCTCAACCTCCCAGGAAGCACAAAGCTGCTGGGCACCTAGGACAGTGGTCAGATGGTAGGACCCTGGAGTCAAAGTAACAGTACTCTGGGCATTTAGTTGCTTCAATTTCCAATGCCTGGAGAGGAGAGACTCAACCAGAGCTCCCGCCGCTCGAAGACCCAAACCCCCACCCACTACACGCGCCCTCCCAGGGTGCCACAGCATGCCTGGTGCCCTTCTCCATGCCAGCAGTCTTCTGGAGCAGTCCGTTCGCTGGGCCCACCCTTCAGAACGCACAGTCCCAACCTGCACCCGGCACAAGGGCTCATCTGCAGCCCTTTCCAAGGGCCAGAGGACTGAGACGGTGAAAACCGCTCAGTGCAAAAATGTCCGCAACAACCATTCTTAAAGGACCACTATCCACAGCCAAGGTTTAACTTGGGTCTTCACAGGTCAGTACCAGCCCTCCCAAAACCCTAAGGGATTTGCTAGGGGCTATAAAACGAGCCCATCGCCAGCGTGCTGGCGTGCTGCAGCGCCAGGGGAGCATGGAGACCAGCCCAGTTCAAGGCACCACGAGGGAGGAAGGACCCAATCTGTGTTGTCACCCTGCAGGACCACGCAGCACCTTCCAAACCTTTGACCCAGGACAGTTTGGTTCTCAGACAGGAAAGGAGCCGTGTATCCAGCGAGGGACTGACTGTCGAGTAAACTCAACCCAAGGACACTCACTTTGCAGGACCCTCCTCACTTGGAGATGGAGGGGACAGTGAGGCGGAGGTTACACACACGGAAGCCACCAGGCATGTGCCCAGAGACTCAGCCAGAGGTTACACGCTCTCACTAGGGACCAAACCTCTGCACCACTGGACACAGCAAGATCTCTCAAAAGATGCTTGTAAGTCCAAACGTTGGGAGGGGAGCAACCAGAACTAGTAGGAACTATATTGATTCCACTCTCCTTGGGTCCAGCTGTCCCGTGCAGGACACAGCTCTTCACCACCCCACCCCTCCAAGGATAAGGCTGCCAGTGCTTCTGAATTTTGGATCTTAGCATTTTTAACCATCTTTATCTCCTTGTTCCTCACGCACATGTGAGGCCCGTGAGGTTTGTGAGCTACCACCTCCGTTAGGGGCACTTTCCCCAGAGCTGGTGTCCTAAGGAAGCGTCTCACCAGGCTGCCTGGGGGTGGCAGGCTTCTGGGGAGCCTCCTGCAGCGTTTCTCTCATCCTGTCCCAGGTGCTGATCTTGTGACCCAACAAGGACCCAGCATGCAGGCAGCCTGTCCGCTGCATCCTCAGCATGTCTCCTGGCAGCCCCAAGCCCATCAGGCCGCAAGTAGTGGCCCATCTCCAGAGTGGCAGGATTGGACCAGGTGTGTCGCCCATCTGCCAGCTGACCCTTCCTCAAGCCCAACGGCATGAACCTTGGGAACAGTCTGAGAGGGAGATGGGGCCAGGACTACCAGGGGGCCCTCCCGGGCCTCTGCCATTCCACAAGAAGGGCTGTGCCGGCTCAGTCTCGCACGGCACTTCCCTGCTGAGAGCACGTGTCCAGAGAAGCAACACAGACAAGCAGCCCCAAGTGGCAAAGTGCTGTGATGCCCGTGAGGGACCAGCCCTGCTTCTCCAAGACCTTCTCAGGAGTAGGCCACACCTGTATGAAATCCGAGGTCCCGGTGACACCTGACCTTGACCCCTCCCCCTCTGGGAAGGCAGCACCTCTCCTGGGAGAGAGAGCTGCACCACCCAAGGCACCGGATGCAACCATCCAGCCCCAACACTGAGCTCCCTATTAGCTCTCTGGCACCAGTGGGTCCCTTCCCACCATATACACTTTACACAAGACACGCTCCTCCAGGCCGAGCTGTCTGCATAGCCGACTCCCGGGGACTCTCAGGAAAACGGGCCCTGGGTCCATGGGCACATGGCTGCACCCAGGACTGTTACAACACGGGGCTTCCAGGTGCAAAGCTACAAAATCAAGTCTTCAGAGCAAGTCTTGGCTTTCAAAAGAGTTTTAATTACAAATGTGATTCTGAAGCCTGGACACACAAAAGTGACACCCTCTCAGAGGGAACTCACCACTCCATGCGTGTGCATGTGTACATATGCGCACATGTGTGTGTTTGTGTGTGCGGCCGTATGCAGCAGATTGTCTTCCATTCAGAGAGTGGTACCATGATCTGTGTGTTGATATTTCTATAGAAAGAAAGTCACCTGATCAGGACATGTGCAGAGATGAATGTACACCCGTGTTCTGTAAAATAACCCAATTCACCTTCAGTAGCCTCTGCTCTGACCCCCAGTGCACACCAGGTGTGGCCCTCCTGTCTCCTGAGTTTCAAACACGCATGCTGGGAAAACAAGGACACAGTGCTGTGGTGACAGACCAAACGTTCTAACGAGTGGCTAGTTTGTGACATGGGTTTGGCCCGCAGTGACAGTGCAGCCCTGGCGACCAGAGCGACATGGCCAGAGGCAGGGCTCCCTTCAAGGCTGGGAGCCGTCTGGGCACTTGGTCAGCAACTTGCAGTGTTTCTGGACCCTGTCATGACAATGTTTCCGTTTGCATATACAGTTGGCAATTAATGCATGTCTTGCTCTTCAGCAAATCCTAGTCAAGCAGCTTTAACTTAAATATTTAAAAGTTATCTTTACATCATTGAAGGTTGGCAAAAACACACAGAACCTGACAGCGACCATTTCATTTAATCCAATGCTCTAAAACACTCATTCTGTTCCCGACGCAGACAGCAGTTCCTAGCCGCAGAGAGCTCGCTGCAGGGTTAGTTTCAAGATCTGTCTTTTCTGTTACTGGTTCCAATTTAAACTACTTTTGGATACTGTGACGCTGCATTCTAAGGAGGAACACGGTCCCTCCTTCCTATTCCTTGCGCTAGTTTGAAATTTATCCATGCTGCTGTCGGGTGAGCATGCCTCAGCTGACCTGTCACATAGGAGGTGAAGAATGTTCCTTTCCAAGTTTTAATGAAAACATGATGATCCCAAGGAAAGCTTTATGGAGAGACGGCAACGATAATGAATGGCTGGCAATCAAAAGTTAATTAGGATCGAGTCCTCAGCCAGGATGGTGCTTTCTCCGTGAACACGGTCCTTAGAAAGGCCGGTGCTGCCGTACTCGGAACTCAAGGAGCCACGTGGCGGAGTCCAGCGGGCAGAGGCCGGGTCCTGGGGCACTCCTTGACCTCAGTAGATGTCCGGGCAGCCTGAGAAATCCCGCTCGAAGTAGCCACCTGAGTACAGCCAGTCGGGGGTCCCGGTGTGCGGATTCCTGCCCTGCTGGAACCACCTGCAACACAGACGAGGCTCAGGACGGCTGGGCAGTCACTGCTGCCGGCCTCCGGGCAGGACAGAGAATCCTCTAATTAGCCATCACCCAGAAATGTGCGTGTCTAAAGGCAGCCACTTCAACTCGGGCTTAGTAATCACATTTTCACAACTACACTCCCCTGCACACATCCCCAATGTCAGCCTCACTTCCTGACAAACCTTGTGAGTTAACAGAAAACACTCAGGCGGGGCCATCACCAGAGAAGCCCCAAGCCACTTTGTGCCTTCCAGTGAGAACAGTAACAGTGCTATTTCCATCCTTTCGAGATGGCCAGGTCTGCACGGTCTGTTAACTGGAAGGGGCGGGATCAAGGACAGAGAGGGTCACAATGGCCTCCAGCTTGTCTATGAGCCAAACCAGTCACTGTCATTAGCCTCCATCAGGCTCCCAGCACATCCGTCACCCACCCTTGGCCTCTGAGTGGTGGAGAGAAGCGGGAGCAGGTGTGGAGGACTCGCGAGCTAGAAGTAATTGTCTTCTCAAGATAAAATGTCATTATTTTCACAATAAAAAAAATACAATGTAGGAACACTATTTTCAAACTATCATTTTCTGAAACAGCAAATTCCACATATCAAACTACCCTATATAGTAAAGATGTAATATGCAAATTGACCATCACATGCTCCCATTAGATGGCCACCCCCATATGGTCACAATATGGCTGCCATAAGATGGCCGGTAGGGAAGGACAGTTGTGGGCAATCAGGCCTGCAGGTGAGGGCAGCTGGGGGGGGACCAGACTGTCAGGAGAAGGCAGTTGGGGGTGACCAGGCCAGCAGGGGAGGCCAGTTGGGGGCAACCAGGCTTGCAGGAGAGGGAAGTTAGGAATGTGGGGACCAGGCCTGCAGGGTAAGGCAATTGGGGGAAGAGGGGGGCACAGGCAGCAGGGGAGGCCTGTTGGGGGGGACCAGGCTAGCAGGGGAGGGCAGTTGGGGGGGACCAGGCTGGCAGAGGAGGACAGTTAGGGGTGACCAGTCTGGCAGAGGAGGACAGTTAGGGGTGACCAGGCCGGCAGGGGAAGGCAGTTGAGGGGGACCAGGCCAGCAGGGGAGGCCAGTTGGAGGGGAACCAGACTTGCAGGAGAGGGCAGGTGGGGATGTGGGGACCAGGCCTGCAGGGGAGGGCAGTTGAGGGTGTGGAGACCAGGTTGCAGGGGAGGGCAGTTGGGGGGGGGGTGACCAGACCTGCAGAGAAGGGCAGTTAGGGGCAACCAGGTGGGCAGGGGAGGACAGTTGGGGGCAACCAGGCCTGCAGGGGAGGGCAGTTGGGGTGATCAGGCCAGCAGGGGAGAGCAGTTGGGGGCAACTGGGCCGGCAGGGGAGCATTTAGGCATCAATAAGGCTGGCAGGGGAGTGGTTAGGGGGTGATCAGGCTGGCAGGCAGAAGCAGTTAGGGGCAATCAGGCAGGCAGGCAGGCAGGCAAGTGTTGAGAGCCAGCTGTCTCGGACTGTGAGAGGGATGTCCGACTGCCAGTTTAGGCTTGCTCCCACAATGATCAGGCCTAAAAAAGCAGTCAGACATGCCCCAAGGGGTCCCAGATTAGAGAGGGTGCAGGCTAGGCTGAGGGACCTCCCCGCCAACCCCGTGCACGAATTTCATGCACAGGGCCACTAGTCCTATACAATAAAAGCCTAATATGCTAAGTGTCCCGTCGTCCAGTTGGCCATTCAACCAATCAAAGTGTAATATGCTATTGATTTGCTAAGGACACTCAACTGCTTGCTATGACATGCACTGACCACCAGGGGCAGACAGTCGAGTAGTTGGCCAATCACTATGACATGCACTAACCACCAGGGGGCAGATGGTCTGACTGGTAGGTTATACTGCTACTGAAGTCCAGCTAATCAGGACTGAGCAAGATGGCCAAACATGCCCTGGAGCCCTCCTGTGGTCCCTCCTTTGCTGGCCAACCTCCCACGTCCCTCCCTGGCCCAAATCGTGCACCAATGGGGTCCCTTGGCTTGGCCTGCACCCTCTCGCAATCCAGGCTAAGGGACACCCCCACCCCGAGTGCACAAATTTCATGCACTGGGGGGGGGGGAAATTTAATGCATCAGGCCTGTAGTTAAGAGCATAATATTAAATAGGAAGCCCAACCCTTTGAAAGTTAGTTTTAAAAACGATAGCCGCATAAAAGTCACCAGGTGACTTCACTGGGCCCTGAACACGACAGGCAAAAATATCCTGGTTAACAACTCAGAACCACCAGTTTTCTAAGACTACAATTGTAACTTACATGTACCTTTAAATTTTGTTTAAACATACAGTACTTAACCAAGTCCTTATTAAGTGGACTGTTGTCACATCTATAATAATAAAAGTGTAATACGTTTATTGGAGCGGACATCCTTCCGACCAAGCCAAGGCTGGTAGCAGCCGGAGGGAAGCCTGGGTCCGAGGTGCCAGAGGGAAGCCAGTCTGGCACTAGGGGAAGGCCTTGCATGAATTTCATGCACCGGGCATCTAGTTATGACTATAAAAGAACAAATGACAACTAATTTGTGATACTCCTCTGGGTCAAGGCCTGTGCAGGCACACACATGTGCACTCCACTCACATGTCCATGGGATGAGTGCTCCCAAGCAGGGGAAAGACAGCCAGCCCGCTCCCATCACGGCCACTGGGGCACCGGATCATATGGATGGGGAACATGTGGGGATAGCACGCCACTCCCAGCAGCACCTGGGCTTCTGGGCGCACAGTACCTCTTCTCTGAGAACTGTTTCCCCTCAGTCAGTGGGTTGGCTCTGGCTACATTGCCTTTTTAATTTGCCATACTTAAAAAGTGCTCAGGGTCAAATATCCAGGGACCAGGAATGGGAGGCGGGTCCCAGGTGACCTGTCTCACTCCAGCAGGTGGCACTACTTTTGGGAGCATCAGCCTATCAGCGTGGTGGGTACAGCCTGGACAAGGAGCCGAAGCAGAGATGACTTCTCAGCCATAGGTATGTGGGGCCTCCTCATTGTGCCCAGGTGTGTGGGGCCCTCCTCACTGTCCCCACGTGTGTGTGTAGTCCTCCTCACTGTGCCCAGGTGTGTGGGTCCTCCTCACTGTCCCCACGTGTGTGTGTAGTCCTCCTCACTGTGCCCAGGTGTGTGTAGTCCTCCTCACTGTGCCCAGGTGTGTGTAGTCCTCCTCACTGTCCCCAGGCGTGTGTAGTCCTCCTCACTGTGCCCAGGTGTGTGTGTAGTCCTCCTCACTGTGCCCAGGTGTGTGTGTAGTCCTCCTCACTGTCCCCAGGTGTGTGTGTAGTCCTCCTCACTGTGCCCAGGTGTGTGTAGTCCTCCTCACTGTGCCCAGGTGTGTGTGTAGTCCTCCTCACTGTCCCCAGGCGTGTGTAGTCCTCCTCACTGTGCCCAGGTGTGTGTGTAGTCCTCCTCACTGTGCCCAGGTGTGTGTGTAGTCCTCCTCACTGTCCCCAGGTGTGTGTGGTCCTCCTCACTGTGCCCAGGTGTGTGTAGTCCTCCTCACTGTCCCCAGGCGTGTGTAGTCCTCCTCACTGTCCCCAGGCGTGTGTAGTCCTCCTCACTGTGCCCAGGTGTGTGTAGTCCTCCTCACTGTCCCCAGGTGTGTGTAGTCCTCCTCACTGTCCCCAGGCGTGTGTAGTCCTCCTCACTGTGCCCAGGTGTGTGTGTAGTCCTCCTCACTGTGCCCAGGTGTGTGTAGTCCTCCTCACTGTCCCCAGGCGTGTGTAGTCCTCCTCACTGTCCCCAGGCGTGTGTAGTCCTCCTCACTGTGCCCAGGTGTGTGTAGTCCTCCTCACTGTCCCCAGGTGTGTGTAGTCCTCCTCACTGTCCCCAGGTGTGTGTGTAGTCCTCCTCACTGTGCCCGGTGTGTGTAGTCCTCCTCACTGTGCCCAGGTGTGTGTGTAGTCCTCCTCACTGTGCCCAGGAGTGTGTAGTCCTCCTCACTGTGCCCAGGTGTGTGTGTAGTCCTCCTCACTGTCCCCAGGAGTGTGGTCCTCCTCACTGTCCCCAGGTGTGTGTGTAGTCCTCCTCACTGTCCCCAGGTGTGTGTGTAGTCCTCCTCACTGTGCCCAGGTGTGTGTAGTCCTCCTCACTGTGCCCAGGAGTGTGGTCCTCCTCACTGTGCCCAGGTGTGTGTAGTCCTCCTCACTGTCCCCAGGTGTGTGTGTAGTCCTCCTCACTGTGCCCAGGTGTGTGTAGTCCTCCTCACTGTCCAGGCGTGTGGTCCTCCTCACTGTCCCCAGGAGTGTGGTCCTCCTCACTGTCCCCTCATCCACGCAGGGTCTCACCTTGTCTGCCACTCCGTGTCCTCCTTGGCACGCTCCTTCCGGGCTTCCCTCTGCTTCTCCTCTAGCCGCTCCTTCTCCTGGCTCGCCAGATCTAGGCCCAAGCACACGGCTGGGTGAGGAGTCAGGTGGACAGTGATGCTCCTGTCACCGTTCAAGAACCATGGAGAGTAACTGTCGTCAGGAAACCAAACCCAAAGGCCTTGGCCCGGGACGTCGAGGGACAATGGGGTCCTAGTGCAGTACCAGCCCCGGCAGGTGCTCAGCTCCTGGGCCATGTCACCCACAGGGGCAATGTCAGCAGCCCTGGCATGGGTCCCACCCTGGAGCCACTTCCTTTGCACCAACTGTCACATCAACCTTAACCCTCAGGTCAGCGGCTGTGCTGTCCCAAGGACTGAGGACCCGACCACAGGTGCCCACCCACTGCCCTGCCCTCCACACACATCCCTGAGCAATTTGCTGACCCACAAACCGCAGCAGGCGCACCCTGCATAGGCACCGGGAGTGCTGCTGCCCTCGCTCAGAGCAATGCGTGGTGAGCAGGAGGCAGCCGCTCGTCACACTGACCCCGCCTGCCGCCCCACAGCGGTCGCCCAGCGTGTGCCGCCAGGTGCCAGACTCAGGACTGTCGCATCCCACCTGCAGCAAGGCCCACACGACGGCTGTGGGGACTTTATCGACCAGCATGCGGTTCTGAAAGGCAGCCTGCACTCTACCTAAGAATCGAGTACTGGGACTTGACTGGTGTGTATTCCTCTTCATCGCATCTTTCTAGTAACTTAACCTTACTGTTATTTACAAAAGTCCAGTCCTACAGGCTGGACTCTGAAACCGTCACGCTGGCAGTCCGCGTGCTGTGCCGTCCCCGGGCGGCCACGCAACTGCCCAGTGCTCAGGCACGCACCCATGTTGCCGTTCTCCATGCTTCGGATGTCAGGACGCAGGCGGCAGTCTGTGGGGGCCAGGATCTTCTCCATGCCCGTCTGCAGTTCGTTGAGACTAACAGTGAAACTGGTGAAGTTATACATCTGAGGACAGACAGAAATCTGTGACGGCACCGCCCACTCTGGAGCCACAGACACGCTCCCTGGAGACGCCCCCGTCAGGATCACGCAGGGGCAGGGCTCCTTCCTGGGCCTGAGACGCACCAGCCTCGGGCTCCTCTGGGCCACCCCACTTGATGCCCAACTTGTAGGTCTGACTCCCCAACATCTCAGGGATGAGTGGCTTATTTTTTACATGCTCTGCTATGTTATTGGACATGGTAATACAATAAAAAATTATAATACATTGTATATTTATTCTAATTCAGAATATGAAAAGTACTATATAATTTATTACATAATGTTATATTTATTATGTATTTTAATATATATTATTGTATGCAACAAATTTATATGTAATAGAAATTGTAAGTTTAATTTTCAAAAATAAATGTCAAAATGCACTGACGCATTTAAATTGATACGCTGGGAAAACAACCCCTGCAAGCCACTCTGGAAACCCCTTTGGGTAAGATGTGGTTGTATAGACCTTCCAGGGTACATGGTGTGTCCCGAGGCACCTCTACCCAGGAGAATCCGGGGCCACTGTGATACTGTGATGTGTGCAGACATGTGTGCCAATTCTGTGTCAACATGCCATGACTCATGCAGACAGAGCATCGCTGTGTCGCTGGAGGTTTTGCGGGACAGGAAGTCCTCGGAGGCTCACACTGAGCTCAGCCTGATCAGGGGATAGATGGTCCTCTGCCTGCTCTGGGACAGAGGCCTGAGGTAGCTGGTGTGCACATGGGGCTGGAAGGGCAGGTGGGGGGAAGCACTGACCTGGGCAGAGTTGGGGGGCCGGGTATTAATCCTCCAGAGGAGCCTGCTGCCTGGAATGACCTGCACAGTGTCCTGGACCTCAGGCACAGCGTCCACTTCAGTGTCAGCGTCCTCCACGCCAATGGCCTGAAACACAGAGCACGCTGGTCGGCAGCCGGAGGGAGTGGCCCTCGGGTGCCTTTCACCCCGTTCTGAGCCCACGCAGAGCACGATGAGGAAGGAGGCGCCGCTGCCCCGCTGTGGCCTACAGGCTGGGCTCCCCTCCCCCTGCCCAGGCTCCTGCACAGGGGCCCCGAACACAGGGAGCGGAGTCAGTGGCAGGCACGGCTGTCCTCCTGGGAGTCAGGCACCATGAAAGGAGGAACTGGCACCATCAAGAGCACATTCATCTAAGCTAAGGGGACTGGACAGCTCATTTCTGAGAGGGGCACTTCCCTCCGTGCTGTCCTCAATAAGGACGTGCTCCAGATGGGTGACTGCGTGATATCCCAGCACCTAGACCACACCCCACTGGAGACCAAACCCTTTACAGAGATATGCCACCTGCGGCTACCTTTCCAACCCGAGGGGGCCTGGACACGGAGCGTGGTTATTCACACAGCTGCTGGGGACAGTGTGCTGGTGTGACAAGTGTCCGTGTGACCCACGCAGCTTAAGGGCCGGCCGCCTGACAGCAGGCACACAGTGAGGTCCAGAGCTAAACCTCACTCTGTCCCCTCCAGGCTGCCCAGGACAGCGAAGCTCAGTGCACACCGAAGACATCAGCCAGGGTCTAACACGCCAGTCTGCACAGTCTCTAAGTGGAATTTAACTTCTCAGAGTGACACAGGTCATGGAAGCCACACTGCCAGCACATGGGAACTACCACATGAAGACATGGAACAGCGGGGAAGGCCTGTGCTGCCTGAGAGGGGCGTGTCATCTAGAACACGGGGCGCCTCTGTAAGTGCATTTCCAGGTTCAGCTCCGAGGCCTTAGGGCAGCGGGATGCAGGCTCCTGGGAGAAGCCCCCTGCCTGGCACAGCCCTGACTGTGGGCATCGTCTGGACTCAGAACTGAAATAGCAGAGGACGCTCACTCGCCTGAACAGGTCTAAGCTGACAGGGCAGGCAGACAGGAGGTTTGTTAAGAGGCATCCAGAACATGGCATATCCAGAAGGAAATGGAAGTGCCTGGTTCTACTTTGCTTGACTTGGGGGACAGACAGACGCTGTGACACAGGACCTGTGCCCTCCCGCAGTCAGAGTGCAGATACACCCTCCCGACCCAGAGGCCAACAGACAGTAGCTTCACTGGCAGCAGGTTCTGTGCCTCGTCTTCCCACAGGGCCCTGCTGGGGGTCATGGCCAGTTCCCAGAGCCTCTGCCAAGCAGTGCTAGGAGTGGGGCAGGAGTAGGGCGGGAGCGGGGCGGGGGCGGGGGGGGGGGCAGGAGGGGGGCGGGAACAGGGCGGGAGCGGGGCAGGAGCAGGGCGGGAGCAGGGCGGGAGCGGGGCGGGAGTGGGGCAGGAGCAGGGCAGGAGCGGGGCGGGGGAGGGGGGGGGGGCAGGAGGTGGGCGGGAGCGGGGCGGGAGTGGGGAGTGGGGTGGGAGCAGGGCAGGAGCGGGGCGGGAGTGGGGCGGGAGTCGGGTAGGAGCCCGGCAGCGCCTTACCGACTGTGACTTCCTCGGGGTCTCCCCCCTCCGCTCCTGCTTCCGGAAGGACTCATACGCTGCAGGGTCTATGCCCCACAGACACTCCGTCCACTTGCCATAGATGATGAAGAGCTTCTTCTTGCTGGAACCAAGGGGTTTGGAAGCCAGGCTCAGACAGACCACCCACCCCAGTGCAGCACCCCTTCCACCGCGGTGCCAGTCCTGCCTGGCTGTCCTCTTACAATCTTAGGCTACCTCTGCACAAAGACGCAAAGACGAAAACTTGCATTTTAGGATCTCTGCTCTGCCATTCGACACTGATGGTCCTAATACCGAATACCAAAGGAAGGAAGAGGGAAGGGCAATAGCTAACAGGGTGGATGAGGGTGGAGACAGGCGAAGAGGCCATGCTCAGATGTAAAACGCCATGTGCCGACCCCCCGTGAGCGCGCTGACTTCGAGCCCTTTCTCTATAAACCCCGGAACAGGCCCCGTCTGCGGAGCGTGCTTTATCCTCCAGGCACACTGGCAGGCGGATTCCGCGTCCTTCTGCCACCTGCTTCCTCAGGCAGCAACCACCTCTGGGCCCTTCCCAGACGGGCCTCCTGCTGGCTCCCGAAGGAGCAGAGCCAGCGTCGGGGGCTCCTGTGCAGCCTCTGGGAGAGCACATGGGCCCCGAGCCCCTGGGGAAGCAGCTCTGCAGGCAGGGCCGGGGCCCCGTCCGCAGAGGCCCAGCCTGGAGGCCGCACCCCTCTCAGGAGACAGCTCGATGGACGCGCACTGTCACTAACAGGCCAGCGTCAGGAAACGCTCACTCGAAACAAAACCGGAGCAGTGGGCGCTGGACCTCTGGGGGAGGTCCAGGCTGCTGTCCTGAGGGTGCAGGAACAGTGGCTCCCAGGCTGAGTGGGCCTGGGCAGAAGGCCTGCTGCTCGCAGGAGCTTGTTTCTACTGAGCATGGACAGATTCAAGGAGCGGAAAGGAGTCTTGGCCATTACATGGCCCAAATTACTTATGGGGAAAATGAGAAAGTTGAGACCCAAAACGAGATTACTAAACCAAAGAAGGGAAAACTCAGAAAATGTGTTAAAACGATACTAACCATTTCTCTGCTCAAAGCCTTTAAACTTCCCCCTTTTCGGACTGGCAGAACCAGCGTTGTGCAGTGAAGCTCACAGAGCCACGCGAGCTTACCGCCTGCCTGCAACGCACACACGCACACACGCATGGTGCGGGAGGATGTGGGGCCAGACTCCAGCCACGCGGTCTGCAAACTGCAGCAGCATCTCAGGAGCCCTCCTGCTTCTGCCTGTCCACATGGCCCCGCCACTCCCCACCCTTGGAGTGACGCTAAAGCTGCTTTTACCTCCTGTTATGCTCCATTATGAAATGGTTTTCTAAGTAAAGAACGGGTACAAAGGGGTCCTAATTTTTCCTGCCCTGAACAGACATCATTGTTTAATGACCTTCTTTGAAGCGCACACATGCTCTCTGAGCCAACCCGCACGCGGACCTACTTTTTGTCTTGAATGTGTCCTTCCACTTTGTGAAGCTCTTTTCCAAACAGCCCGCAGGGTCTGAAGTGGAGCACACATTTGTCTCCAGTCCTGCGGGAGAAGCACAGGCCTCGGTTGTGGGACTTGAGCCGTCCAGAAAGATGAGAGAGCGGGAGACAAGGTGAGAGAGGAAGAGCAAGAACAGGAGTGGGAGAGGGAGGGGAAGCAAGAGGGGGGAGGGAGGGAGGGAAGGGGACAGGGAAGGAGGGAGAGCAGAGGCTGCCTGGGGCTGGGGAGTGACAGCCAAGGGCACAGGGACCTTTCCAGGGTGGGGAAGGCCCCGGCAGTGCCCGCGGGGACAGCTGCCCAGTCCAGGACTTAGTACATATCACTCTATCCCTAGGTGCCCGCTTTTACTGGGTGGACTTCATGACATGTGAATTACATCTCAGTGAGGTTGTGGAAAACAGAACTGGTGTCAAAGATGTCCAGGGAGAAGGAATGACAGGCCGCAGTGTGGACAGGACAGAGGACGATCACTGTAGTTTAAAATTTCAAACTAGGACGAAACCGGTGTGGCTCAGTGGATAGAGCATCTGCCTGCGGTCTGAAAGGTCCCAGGTTCAATTCCGGTCAAGGGCATGTGCACATCCCCAGTAGGAGGTGTGCAAGAGGTAGCTGATCGATGATTCTCTTTCATCGATGTTTCTAACTCTCTATCCCTCTCTCTTCCTCTCTGTAAAAAAAAATCAATAAAATATATTTTTAAAAATTTCAAAATAAGTTAACTTGTGATTAGAAAGAAAACTTTCAACACAGAGCGTGAACGGTGCCTCACGCTGACCAGAACCAATTCCCACCAACGCGGGCCCGGGGCTCCGTCTGGACAGCGAGGTGGAGAGATCACAGCCAGCCTCCAGGACAGTGTGCGGGCCACGCGGCATGCGGCACCTGTGGTTTAGGATCTCCACCGTGCCGTACTGCTCTATCCAGAGCTTCCCGATGATCACGTTGTGCACACAGCAGGTAGGGTTGGTCCAGGTGTAGGCCTCATTGTGTCTGTCAGAGACCAGAAAGCACGCCTGTCAGAGCCAGCAGACACCGGGTGCGGACAGAGGAAAGCAGCAGCAGGGAGTAATTGCCCTAATACCCGCAGCAGAGAGCACTGCTTTGAACTCCCTCCAACAGCGGCTCCTTACTTAGCATTCGTTTGAAATTTATTTCTTCTTTCCTTTGTAGCAACAACAAAGGTTTCTACTTGATATCAATGCGACTGAGACAAAGAGCTCTGCTGTGAGGATGTGAGAGCCACCACCTCCCGCCAGGTGCTCCCAGTGGGATGCGTGGTCTGCAGTTTGCAATAGCACTGCACACACCTTCCCTTTTGTTCCTCGTCCTCCCGTGACCTGACCCCAGAAGAAGAGGCCCCCGGACATGAAGGGAGCGGATTGCCAGATCTGTGTCCCAGGGAGGCTGCGACATCAGCTCGGTGCAGGGTATTTCGAGACAAATATCTGCAATGCCTTGAATCTCCCAGTTGGAAGCCAGACACCTGAACCAACAAGGCTTGCAACCTTTCAACTCTACCCGCCTCGCCTCGTTCCAGGAGAGTGAAGACCACCGCGAAGTCTCCCGGAGGAGCTGCTCCCCGAGGCTCCCATGCACCCCTGGCAGCCAGCCAGGCAGGGCCAACAGGGAACAGGTTCCCTCCAATGCTCCCACGGCGCTGCCGCAGCTCAGGACAGCCCCTCCCTCCCCCACTGTGGCCTGGACTCTGATGGCTCTGCGGATGCTACAGACTCCGCTTTTGAGCTTTTGCTTTGAGGTGTGGACGAAAAGAGGCCACATGCTAACCTGACTAATTCAGGGAGGCCTACATGGTGGTGTTGCAAACTCAGTAACCACAGGATGGTCTGAAATTAAATTTTTTAAACTAAAAGCAGTGACCGTTCGAAGTCCTGTTCTAGGTGAGTCTCTTCCCTGACGAGGTCCTTCTCCACCTTAGCTGAGCCTGTTGTCTTTCTGCAAATCAGACAGCCTATCCCGGAAGGTCAGAGTAATTTCCCTTTTCTGGACCCCTCAGAGCACAGGCACCACTCTGCGGAGACATAACCCCCCCCCCCCCCGTCATGGAGTTAATTGTTCCCTATCCCGCACCCCCTGGGTAAAAGAAGCAGGTGTCCATCATTTTACTTCTTATCCAATCCCAGAGGTCTCCCGCTGTGCTTACTCCCGCCCCCTCACCCACCACCAATGGAGTTCCTGTGACCACCCGCCCTCCTGTGACAGTGATGCATGAACAAGGTGCAGCCCGCTGTTCTCCAGAGCCCTGTCTCCACACTGGAGGTTCTGCTTCCGGCAATTGTCCACAGTTTGGCTCAAATAAGCTCGCAAACACTCTTCACAGGCTGAACGTTTTTTACGTTAGCGGTGTGTTATCGATATCAGATCGGGGCATGCACATTTAGACTGGACAGGGGTGGGGCATCCTCCAAGGTGCCCCTTGCTGTGGCTCCGGAATTCACCCGGCCTGCACTCGGCAGGGCGGGTGTGTGACCAACAGCACAGTGTGGGGGAAGGTACAGTTGAGTCATTTCTGGGTCAGGTCATAAAAGACACTGGCTCCCTCCTGGTGGCTTCTCCCCTTGGACACCCGGCTCTGAGGGACGTCAGCACCAACTGCCAGGGAAACAGGTGTGTGCCCAAGTCCTGACGCCAACTCCCAGGTGCCCAGCATGACCCTGCGCAAGTCCCGGCTGCTCAGAAACCACTTCCTGAGCTGCAGAGTGGGGTCTTCGCACAGGATAGGTCACTGCTACAACAGTGCCCGGAGTGTGCGCAGGCCACGAGGGAGCACGCCCAGGCCGCCTAGGGCGGGTCAGGTGGGCACTGACAGGGGGCAGCCTGGCCCCTCCCTCCAGAGAAGAGCCCCAGGGAAGAGGTTTCCTTCCACAAACAGCGGAGGGGAGGGAGGCGGCTCTGGCCCAGGAGGCTCACCTGAGAAGCTCCAGAGTGATGGTGCCCCGGGGCTCCGCTTCCACGCTCTTCCCCCAGAACTTGAGCTTCGGGTAGATGGAGCCGTGGAACAGGAAGTCCTGACCGAGTCCTTCAGAGTAAAACGCACTAACAGGGGGGTGGTGGCTGACCTGCTCGGATATGAACCTGAACCCTAGGTCTTCCCTAGGCACGAAAAGAGAGAAAGAGGGGGAGCCCGTTAGTGACAACAAAACCCATAAAGGCAGCACGGCGTCCCTGTCAGCTCAGTGGCCACGCGCACGGGACTGCAGGGCCCTCGTGTCCCGAAGAGGCCCTGGGAAATGGGGACCACTCCACGCTGCCACACGTGGCAGAAATATGCAACACAGAAATATGCTCTGGTGTCACTCTTGCCTAATGCTGACACCACACGCATGCATTAAAGTGTGCTCCACGGGGCCACCCAGCACACGGAGGTCTGAAGCATCTCTTAGAGCAGCGATCGCCAACTGGTGGTCCGTGAGGTCCGAAAGGTTGGCGAACGCTTAGCCAGTGCCTGAGTGCACCCAGGGCAGACCCCCGCCAGGAGCCATGACTCCCAGCCTTCCCAGGGGCTCCTCTTCCATCTCCTCTAGGCTCCTGTAAGGTGGGTGATGAGATGTCTCACGCTCTAAGATATTTCTGTCCAGGAAATAGGATTTTTAGTACACTCTCTTGTTCAAGAAGAATGTCATGTTTTAATTATTCCGGATCTGTGAATACACCTACAGTTGTAGTTTAATCATTATAAAAGCTCAACCTCATAATTACTAACTTAACTGGAATCTGAATTTCCAACCATCACAGAGGAAAAAAAGTTGAAAAATAGATTTTTAAAGGTTGCCTGCCAAGGCATGTAATTTACACAATAAATGCCTGTCTAAGCAAAGCAGTCTTTTCTCAGCAGCAGCCCAGGAGGATCTGTGGCTCCCTAACAGGAAGGCCGCTCAGGTCCCAGGGTCCTGACGCACAATGAGCCACAGGCACGGGCACGCGGGAACCTGGGACTGAGATGGGAGCGTGAACTGGGGTTTAGAAAGAGCGTGAGTTTTCTCTGTCCGGCGTGGAATGGTGGTCCGGGCCTGAAGGGGTGCAGATGAGGTGTTCACCCAGCACTCAGCACTAGTCCATGTTCCTTCATCCCATGGGGCTTATTTCCACTGCCAAAGTTCTGTTCATGCCATGCCTTGACTCCCTTTTGTTCAAGACATTTCAATGACACTCGGAATGTACCGAGATACTAACTAACCCCTCTGCTCGCAACTAGCTGAGGCAGGATCCCGGCCACGGGCACCCACACCTGCAGACAGAGGCAGACACCCGCTCAGCATAAGTATCAGGACAACGCTACTGGATTCCAATAAAAGACCCCCTTAGTAGTGACTCTCGGGCACCTGGGCCTCAGTTTCCCCGTATCTAAACTGAAGGCACAGGGCTGCTCACCGTCTTTCTCGCTGTGGCATGTTGTAGCCCATGGTCACCTGCTGCACCTGTCATTGGCAAAGAAGCCAGGGAGGCACACACTGCTGCTCTCTGCTAGCACATCCCGCTTTCTCCACTTAGCAAGATTTCGAGACCACTGCTCGCCACCAGCCCAGCAGCCCCACCGAGAATCCAGACAGCATTCCCATACCAGTGAAGCCAGGGGAGGACAGCCACTGCACCAGCGGGCGAGTGAGACACCGGTCTGCCTCTGGGTGTGACCACTAACCCATGTCACACCAGGGAGCGGGGGCCTGCAGGTGCCCAGGCCTGCCCGCGTCTCCAAACAATGATTCTGCCCCCACATGGTCTGTGACCAGAGCTGACACAGCTGCACACACCATCGCAGCCTCTACTCACCTCAGCGCCATTGTAAGCAGACAGACACCCCAATTCCCCAGCCACTCACTCACCTGATCATCACAACACATGTGTAGTAAAGGGCTGGCGACCTCAGTTAGAAACTTCAAAGAAACTACACTTCTCTGAGCCCAAGATGCCACTGACCAAATAACACACCATTATTTTATTTTATAAAAGAAAGAAAAAATGCTGCAAATTAAACTAGGACAGAAATGCTAAAACATGAAAAATGTCTTGTCATCAATGAATACTACATTTAGAAAAAGTTTCAATAATCACGGGGAAGTGATGTGCATAAGGTTCAATGGAAAAGGACATAAACGAGCACTGCTGCATTATGGAAACGTGTGCGCACACAGGAGAGGATCTTGGCCAGACTTCAGCCCGACTCACAGATGTCCCACTCATCGTCCTCCCTTTTCCTAACTGTACACATCTCCTCAGCAGAGCACACTGTCATAACTAAAGACAAACTAGCATTTAATAAAGGACTGCAAGAGGCTCCCCCTGGGACCCGAGGGTGGGCGAAACAGGAAAGTCCATACATACATGCCACCAACTGCTCCGAAGCCGGCCAGGCTGTGACCCTCTGGCCTGGGGGCCCACACCCTGCCTGTGAGCTCTGGGTGGCACGCTCAGCCAGGCCGCCTGGACCAAGGCTCATTCTGAGTGACCACACAGCATGAGAGGCAGGGACCCTGGTCCACTTCACACCAAAGCTAACAAGCTTGTTCACAGACTCTCTTCTCCACTCCTGAGTCCAACACAGGATCACATTTCCAACTCTACTTCCCAGCACTAGGGTTTTGTTACAGATCGACCCGACATCCCCCATATGCGACCCCCCTCACCCCGGCAGTGCTCCAGGCCCCTCGGTGAACCTGCCATCCACAGGGCCGGCTGTCAGAGGGCAGAATCATGCTGCAGGAAGAACTGCACCCTCCGTCCTCCATAGCACCGTGCATGGCACTCAGACCTGGCCTTACCTGACCAGCTCGTACGTCTCTCCCAGGAGTGGGTTGAATGGCTTGCCGGTCCTCTCCCACTGGGAAGCCACCGCCGACACTGCAAAGGCAGCCACACACTGCAAACAACACACAGGCCGTGAGCAGTCCCCACCAGGAAGGGCCCGAGGCTGCAGGGAGCAGCTGGCACCTGGCATGTCTGCATCAGGATTCACTATCTAGTGACTGTTCGGTCTTCCCCTGTGACGTGCCCAAGGTCACAGAGATTCCAGGAAGTGTCCTTTGTCACCACCACTTCCTCAAAATCACAGACAGCAGGAGCCCTGCCGCTTTCCAGGTCCCAGCCAGTCCTTCAGCATGCCCTGTGGCAAGGGCCATGCGTTTATCCCCTTTAAACACACATGGGCACATGAATACACATGGCACACATGCTGTATACATGCACATGGGCATAAACACACAAAGGTACACTCATACACGCACGGGAACACATGTGGACAGGCAAGCACATATACTCGCGCATACATGCACAGGCACAGGTGTGGTGCTAAAATGACTGGGAGGAGCTGAGGCGCAGGCCCCATGCACTCCTGTGGAGAAATGCCCAGCACAAATGTCTCAGCTGCTGGCAGGACAGCACCCAGAGTGCGTGTGCACTGTGCTGCCTCTTCTCCCCTGGAGAGGTGCCCAGTCAAATAGGGTCACATCCACTCACTGCCGCGGTCTGGCTCCCCCCAGCGCAGGGCCCGCCCACCTGCATCCTCTCCAGGGCCTTGGGCTGGCGGGAGGCTCTGTGGACGAGGTAGATGTGCTCCATGTACTCCGTGATCCGCTGCAGGAAGCTCAGGGGCTCATTGAAGGCGATGGGCATCGTGATCTTGGACAGCTCCTGGAGGGACAGCGAGGACATCACAGGCGGTTCCCAGAAAGCACAGCCCCGGCCTGCCCCACGCAGTCAGTCACTTCTTGGAGCAGCCAAGGTCTGTGGGAACAAGATCTGAAACCCGCTGAGCTGGGTGAGCCGACCTGGAAGGGAAGCCAGGCCCTCCCGCCACACGGTGAGCTCCACTCTGTCTCCCATAGGATGGCTCCCAGTCCTCTGCCACTTCATGCCCCCTGCCCTGTTCCAGACCACGTGCACACCAAGATGGCAGCCTCCAGTGGCCCTCCCCCCAGAATGTATGCATGCCTATGTTCACATCCTACAATAGCTAAGATCTATAAACAGCCCAGGTGCCCATCAGTAGATGAATGGATAAAAAAGCTGTGGTACAGCCCTAGCTGTTTTGGCTCATTGGATAGAGCAACAGCCTGCACACTGAAGGGTCCTGGGTTCGATTCCAGTCAAGGGCAAATGCCCAACTTGCGGGCTTGATCCCCAGTATGGGGCATGCAGGAGGCAGCCGATCAATGATTCTCTCTCATCACTGATGTTTCTCTCTCTCTCTCTCTCTCTCTCTCTCTCTCTCTCTCTCTCTGATTCTCTCTCATCACTGATGTTTCTCTCTCTCTCTCTCTCTCTCTCTCTCTCTCTCTCTCTGATTCTCTCTCATCACTGATGTTTCTCTCTCTCTCTCTCTCTCTCTCTCTCTCTCTCTCTCTGATTCTCTCTCATCACTGATTTTTCTCTCTCTCTCTCTCTCTCTCTCTCTCTCTCTCGGATGCAGGAGGCAGCCGATCAATGATTCTCTCTCATCACTGATGTTTCTCTCTCTCTCTCTCTCTCTCTCTCTCTCTCTCTCTCTCTCTCTCTCTCTCTCTCTCCCTTCCTCTCTGAAATCAATAAAGATATATATCTTTTAAAAGGCTGTGGTACATTTATACCATGGAATACTAGGCAGCAGTAACAAAGGAGAAGCTCTTACCCTGTGAGACAGCATGGAGGGACCTGGAGAGTGTCACGCTGAGTGACATGTCAGTCAGAGAAAGACAAGTGTCACATGATCTCCCTCATGTGGAATCTAAGTAACAAAATAAACTGATGAACGGAGTGGGTCCAGATACACGGAAGCAGGGAGCAGAGAGGGAATCTCAGAGGGAAGGCGGGAGGGGAGGTGTGGTGTGCATCTATGCATCACCCATGGGCACAGACAATGGTGAAGCCCTGGGGGTGGGGGCGGGCTGGAGAGGGTCAATAGGAGAAAAAAGAGGACATATGTAATACTCCCAACAATAAAGATTTTTAAAAAATAAATAAAATAAAAAACAAAAGACTCACTAGCCTCCCATCCTGTCCAGGGTGACTGGAAGCCTTAGGCAGGGAAGGGAGACCACCCCCTCTGACAGCTGCCCTCGGGCATCGTTCAGGCAAAGGAGCAGCGGACACTGCAGGGCCTCTAGGGGCGTTGTAGAGAGGAGGTCCGACAGACTTAGACAAGGCAGAGGCCCCTCCAGCAGGAAGCTGCTGACAGGGAGGGGGGCTAGAGAAGGGAGGAGGGAGGACAAGGGAGGAAGGGAAGAAACACAGACAGTAATTTCAGGAAAGATGCTGGCCTGGCTCACGCCAGGAGAGGAAATAGTGACCATGAGATTCCACTGCTCACCTGCTCATCAGAACCCGACACCTGCTGTGGGCGCGGTAGTGGGAGGCAGCCCCGCACCTGCTGGTGGGAGGGCAGTGGTGTTCCCCACCTCCCCCAGATTTGCTGCTTGGGCAGAGCTGCACGTGCACTACCCTGGGTCCAGAAATGAGCCTGCACCCAATAGCAGGGAGGGCAGAAGGAGTGAGAAGCAGCCTGGCAGCCCTGGCACTGGGGGTGGGTAAGGTGGTGGGAAGCCTGCAGTTATCCAGGAAAATGGGAGGAGACACACAACATCACTTTATGATTCCTGGAAAGATGGAGCACAGAATTTCTTTATTTGTTGCCTCTCAGGGAGGGACAGGGGCAGGAAGCTGAATGAGCATATAGAGGGATAGTCTTGTTTGAGAGCGGTGACTTAGGACTTACAATGTTAAAATAAGTTTTGTTTAGGAAAGCAATCTGCACGCATGGAGAGTAAAATGGAACCGCCCTGGGCACAACCCCAGAGGAGCCCCTTCCCCAAAGCAGGGAGAGGAGATGCACCCCGAGGACGGCAAGATAGGGGCACCCAAGGACTTGGATTTCGGGGCAAACACGCTGTTGGGTGAGTTGATCCTGCTCCCAGAGCTGCCCTGCACTTGGGATAAAGTGAGGGAGTCACTGGTTACTTGCTAGGCTCAACCATCAGCACTAGGCAGCACCAGCGTCAACACCTGAAGTGTCGGTGTGTGGGGAGAAGAGAAACATATGTGAGCCAGAAGAGGTCAAATCAATCCTGTCATCCCTGAAACAAATCAAAGCACAGCTGCTGTCTCCCACAGAAAACGTAAAGAAGCCTGGGGACGAGAGCAAGCCCGCAGCTCCCCAGGGCCAAGCAGGGTCCTGAGGCCTCTCTCCCCACGAGTGGCTGGCTGCAGGCTGGGACAATAAAGGTACAGAGTGAGCTGGAGCCTTGAAGAGGCTCTCACAGCCACAGATGCACTGGAGCATGTCCAGCAGATTAAACCCTATTCGTTTAAAATACATAAAAAAGAGCCCAGTGTTGCTCAGTGGTTGAGCATCAATCCATACATCAAGAGGTCACCAGTCAATTCCCAGTCAGGGCACGTGCGCGGGTTGTGGGCTGTCCCTAGTAGGGAGCATACAGGAAGCAGCTGATTGATGTTGATGTTTCTCTCTCATCGATATTTCTATCTCTCCTCCCTTCCTCTCTCTAAAATGACTAAAAATATATTTAAAAATTAAAAAGACATACTACTCACTTATGCCAGCATACTTGGTGATGGTAGTGAATCAAACACATAATCTGAAGACTCTGAGGAAGATTCGTCCATTGGTGCTGACCTCCTAATGACACCACACTCACCGCAGACAGCCCAGGTAGTATGTGAGGTGGGTCAGTGTGGCGCTGGCCTGCAGCCCTAAAGAGTGCATGGGTCTTGGCACTGAGCCCAGCAGCTCTTAAACTCAGAGCAAGAGCAACAAGCTGTCTCCCGAAGGAAGGACCCCACACACAGATGCAAAACCAGAGATAACAGGAACCCTGAACAGAGTGCACACCTGACGGTATCATGGTAGTCATGTTTAAAAAGAGCCCTATCTTTCCTGACCAGCGTGGCTCAGCAGCTGGGTGTCACCCCATGCACCAAGAGGTCAACAGTTTGATTCCCGGTCAGGGCACATGACCAGGTTGTAGGCTGGATCCCCAGTGGGGGCGTGCAGGAGGCAGCCAATCAGTGATTCTCATCATTGATGTTTCTGTCTCTCTCTCCCTCTCCCTCTCCCTCTCCCTTCCTTTCTAAAAAAAAAAATCAATGAAAAAATATACTTTAAAAAAGAGCCCCATCCTTCAGCAAAATATAGGAAATACTAATGGTCCAGTGCACAGATTCATGCACATTGAAAGGAAATTAACTAGAAGAAATATTTTAATATTGCTATTCATCCTTTCTCTATAATAGAAGTATCAATAATTGGTCTTCAGAGATATTTTGTTGACAATACCACTTTCTTTCAGCTTCAGAATGTCAACAAAAACAACCAAATTCACAATTAATAATGACAGATTAAAACACATGCATGCAATTGGCACCAGAGAGTCCTTTATATGTATCTCGAATGCATGAATCAATGTTTATTTTTATTTTTTATTTTTTAAATATATTTTATTGATTTTTTACAGAGAGGAAGGGAGAGAGATAGAGAGCCAGAAATGTCGATGAGAGAGAAACATCGACCAGCCGCCTCCTGCACACCCCCCACTGGGGATGTGCCCGCAACCAACATACATGCTCCTGACCGGGATCGAACCTGGGACCCTTCAGTCCACAGACCGACGCTCTACCACTGAGCCAAATCGGCTTTGGCTCAATGTTTATTTTTAAATTGCTAGTGTGCATCATATGTACCGGCTGGTCAGTGGGTTGGCCAGATGGACAGATGGCCACTTAGCCTTTTATATATATATATATATATATATATATATATATATATATACACACACACACACACTAGTGGCCTGGAGCACGAATTCGTGCACATTGAAAGGAAATTAATTAGAAGAAGTATTTTAGTATCGCTATTCACCCATTCTCTATAATAGAAGTGTCAACCAAATTCATGATGAACAATAACAGATGGAAACACATGCATGTGATTGGCGATAGCGAGAGGTTTATATGTATCACACGTGCACAAGTCAACTTAGTCTTTTATAGATATAGAATAAATTTGCTTAATTAGACCTGCTTTCTGATTTAGCTAAACTTTTTCCAGCCCAGTGAAGCACCCCAGCTTCTCTTTCAGGTATTTGTCAGCAACACAGCAGGAAATATCAATGAGAAGCAGATTATTATTGTAGATCACACAGGGAAAACAGAGGGTAAATATTTAACTGCAGCAGTGACAAAGACTGAAGTCATTTTCAAGGTCTACCATTTCTTACTTCTTTTTAGCCAGGTCAAGTTTCTAAGCTTTCTAAATCGGTTTTCCGGCTAATGAAAAGAAAATAGGATTCTACCGAGTCTCCTATCTACCCACTCCAGGACTTCTGTGAGGATTAAGTGAGATGAGGCACGAGAAAACAATTCAGACTCCAAGCATCAGAACTCTGCCTGCAGCCCTCATGGATGGCCTTCTGGGTCTCACCCTCTTTGTGTGTCCAGGAACCCCACAAACACCCCCATTTCATACCGATTACCAAGAGCACATCACAGAACACTGAGGGAAACGTCCCAAGTTTAACCTATAGAGTTGTTTCCTCCTGTCCATCAGTAACCTCGCTTCCTCACCCCCTCCCCTTACATCTTTGTGCCTTCCCGGTCTCATCATCTTTACTCCATGCCGTTTATAAATCTGCAGAGTCACCCTAGCCGGTTTGGTTCATTGGACGAAGCATTGGCCCATGGGCTGAAGGGTACCTTGATTGCAGGCTTCATTCTGGCACTGGAGGCAACCAATCAATGTGTCTCTCTCACATCAGTGTTTCTCTCTCTCTGTTTCTCTCCCTCCCTTTCACTTCCTTTAAAAACCCTTGAATGATGAGTAACAAAACAAAGCAAAAAAATGTGGGGAGTGAACCCTTCTGTGTGTTCACATTGTCTAACGCTGAGCTCAGACAGGCTGCCCACTCACCAGGCCGATGCACTTCTTCAGGATACCCCACACACTGAAGTCACTCCTGGTGAACATCGGGGCCGGCAAGGACGTCCTGAAAAACAGTAACCACAGCAACACATGTTATTATTAATCCAACGTGAGGTTCCCTTATGACTGGTGATTTTGCTCAATGACCATTTTTCTCTCATTTTCCTGGCATGCCTGGGGAGAAAAAGATCAGCCTACTAGCTCAGTCCCAAACAAATGGACCTGTGGGAGGAACCCTGGGAGAAAATGACTGTGACCACACCAATGACTCTCCTTCCAGACCTGGGGACGGGTTGCCTTATTCCCAGAGCAGCAGTGTGCCAGCCGCCTGCAGCACCGCGGAACCATGGACAGAGGCCAGGCCACAAGGTCCCCAAGAGGGAACTACATTAAGAAAACCTTTTCAGCCCAGCCAGCGTGGCTCTGTGACTGGGCATCAGGGCACATGCCCGGGTTGCGGGCTAAATCCCCAGTTGAAAGTGTGCAGGAGGTAGCTGACCCATGATTCTCTCTCATCATTGATGTTTCTCCCTCTCTCCCTCTCCCTTCCTCTCTCTGAAATTAATAAAAGCAACACATATTTTTTTAAATGTTTAATAAAATAGTTTAAAAGAAAGAAAACCTTTTCAGAAATGCACTGTTTGCCCCTTTCAATGTGTGTGTGTTCCTGAGGCAATTCCCTGTGACTTCCCTGCAGACCACAGGCAGCCCCACAGGCAGGTCTGCTCCATGAGACCCAGCTCACAGGAGACTGGGATGGGGAACCCCTGACCCAAGTGGGGCCTGGTCTCCCTTCTGGGAATTTAGCTGGGATGAGACCCTGACTCCATCTGGGAGGGAGGGGTGCCCAGTGGGACAGAGGTGCGGGTTTGCAGGAAGTGAGATGGACCAGAGACTGAAGACTGAGCACCACCCGGTGCTTCCCTGGACGGGGCAGTGCTCTCAGGATAGGAGGACATGAGCCGGCGCCTCCGCTCCAGCACTCTGCTCTCACCCCATAAGGACCCCAAGCTCCCCCTTGGGATATCAGTTAGGGCAGCTGAGTCAGGGCACACTGCTCATTTTTAGGGATGGGAGGGAAAAGAGAGAGGCAGCTGGAGACAAAATGAGAAAAATTGCCATTTATAGAGCGCCACATGCCAGGCTGCCAGCAACTGACACCTGGTCAATTGGCAACTGTCATCTGGGCTAGACTGCAGGGGGCTGAGAAGGGAGCACGGAAAGAGGAGGGGAGAGGAGACAGCAGAGATGGAGGAGGTGGAGACACCACAGCCCGATGTGGGGGCCCTGGAGGACCCAAGAGAAGCCACTGTGGCTGGGCCCAGAGACAGCAGGGAGGGGGCCAGAGAGGAGGAGAGGATGCAGGCCCTCAGCCTAGAGGAGGTGACCTTAGAGTTCACTGTCCACATCGAGATACTTCTAAGAGGAAAAGGCTGCTGTTCTCGAATTCCAAGGAGGGGCACCATATGAACACCCACCTGAGATGGTTTTCTTTCTTTTTTTTAATTTCTTACCCAAGGATATATATATATTTTTTAAATATTTTTTATTGCCGAGATCAGTTTGGCTCAGTGGATAGAGCATTGGCCTGTGGACTGAAGAATCCCAGGTTCGATTCTAGTCAAGGGCATGTACCTTGGTTGCAGACACATCCCCAGTGAGGGGTGTGCAAGAGGCAGCTGATCAATGTTTCTCTCTCATCGATGTTTCTAGCTCTCTATCCCTCTCCCTTTCTCTCTGTAAAAAAATCAATTATATATATATATATATATATATACATATATATATATATATATATATATATATATATAAATATATTTTATTGATTTCAGAGAGGCAGGAAGAGGGGGAGAGAGGGAAACATCAATGATGAGAGAGACATTGATCGGCTGCCTCCTGCATGTCTCCTACTGGGGATCAAGCCTACAACCCGGGCATGTGCCCTTGACCAGATTGACCAGATTGAACCTAGAACCCTTCAGTCCACAGGCCGATGCTCTATCCACTGAGCCAAACCAGCTAGGGCTCCCGAGGATATTTTTTCCATTTTAGAGAGAGCAAAGGGAGGGCAGGGAGGGGGAGAGGGAGACTTGGATTGGTTGCCTCATGCATGTGCCCTGACAGAGCTGGAGATCAAACCTGCAACCCAGGTACATGCCCTTGACTGGAAATGGAACCTGTGACCCTTCGGTGCTTGGGCTGACACTCTAACCACTGAGCTACCATCCAGGGCCCACCTGAGTTTTAAGTGAGGGGTGGACGTGGCCTGGTTAGACCTGTCTGAAAAAGTGACTGCTGCAGCACGAAGAAAGAGGGGGTGTGGGTGCAGTTACAGGGTGACTGCAGGAGACCCAGGGGATGGGGTGGATGTGACAGCAGTCAGGACTGAAGGGGCCCAGGCGTGTGTCAGAGTTGGGAAATGGGAAGGGGAGAAAAAGGGGAAGCTTCTGGGCTGACTCGCCAATGTCACTATGGACCAGTTGCGGGGTGCGGAGGAGGGGCTGACAGCGGAAATCGGGCCTGCATGGGCCAGGTCACCTTAGCATGCAGGAGCTGTGACAACATCGACCGAGCAAGCGACTGAACAAGTAAAAGTATGAGTCCTCCAGGCCAGGCGTGGGGTAAGCATTTGGGCCTAAAGCTCTGAAAGGTCAGGCTGAAGGTGCAAGCCAGATCAGGGTGGACAGAGGCCCACCTTCCACTGACACCACCTCACGAGCTTGACCCCGCTGACGCATTGGGTCACGGTCATCAGAATCTCCTGGCCTGTGAATGAAACACTGAGAGGAGCCTGGAATGCGGTCTCCCTGCACTGAAGGAGGAGGGTCCCCTGCAGGGTGCCAGGCCCCAGGTGTGGTGCCAGGTCGCCCGCCGCGCTCAGGCTTCCCAGCACTGTGGGGCAGGGTGGCCATCCTGCCATTCTACAGATGACGGGAACAGGAGTCGCACAAGCGCCATCACTGACTGGAAGTCTCAGCTGCACAGATGCCGGGTTCTGTCAGAGGAGCTGGCCCACATGGCCCTCTGGCCTCCGGCTGTCACGGACACACTGAAGATTCTAAATCACACACGTGGAACACCATACCTGTGCCTCTGAATCCCATTCTCCTGTGGGGGCCTTTCCCCAGCTTCCCCAATGCCGTTGCTTTTGCTGGTGTCCACAGGCAGCCTTCCGGGGGCTTTCTGACTGGCCTCTGAAAATTCCCCAGAAGAGTTATCAGAATCAAAGCCTGCGCAAGACAAACAGAGTGGTCATTTTTGCAGAACGTGGAAGCTAAAAGCCTGCCTCCCAGAATTCTGTGCAAGCAGAATACCTGACGGTCTAGATTGCTTCTATGGGCACATTCAGGTTAATTAAGTCTGCTTCCCAAGAACGAAGGCAGAGAAGCAGGAGCACTGCGGGAGCTTCCAAGGGAGACAGACCGCCCACTCTGACCAGGGTTTCACATACACCAGGTTCCTTAGGGCCTGCTGGGCACTGTCGCTGATCTGTGGTTCAGCCTCAGGGACCCAGAACAGGGTTCCTGTGGCTTTATTCAATGGCTCACGCCCTTCTGGGCCGGAGCCTCTACAACACTCTAACCTGGGCCTCAAGGAGGCAGCGTGTCCTGTCTGCACAAGATCTGCAGTCCCCCTCCACTCCTCCTCTCCAGATCCAACCCCCTGGGCTGGTTTCTAAGGAAGGCAGACACTGTGCCATGCCACTGCCGGAACCGATCGGACTGACGGTCTCTGAGAGTGAGTGACTGGTTTAACTAGAGCACTCCTCCACAGCATAGAAAACCGGGGAAAGGAGCCAGCTAGGCCTCACATAAACTACAGCTGAATATGTTCTCCAGGCCACCCAGACTCAAGAAGAGCGCCCACTGGGATGTGCTCCAGGGCCCTTCCCCCAAAGGGCTCCCCTCCACGAAGCAGGCAGCGGTGGGGAAGGCAGGCGTGCTCTGCCCCATGAGGAAGAGCGGGTGCACCGAGCAAAGCAGAGGGACTGGGCCGCCAGGGCGAGGTGGCTCCTGCCGGTGCCAGGACGACCCAGACTACTTCAGCAGGGGCCTGCGCTCACAAGGTCCCGCCATTTCACAGAAAGTAAGGCGAGGCCCAGGTGTAAAGCTAGGGGCTAATTGTTGTCAGACCCCAAACCTAGTACAACATCTGCGGCTGAGCCTCCCTGAGAATAGCAAATATCCTTTCATATTCTCCCATGTTGACAAATTTATTCAATGTCGGAGTGAGATTAATTGCACAATGATTTTGAAAGAATACAATAGAAATGAACCTCTTAACTGACAACTGTCTTCTGAAAGAGCCTCTAATGTTCACGGCCAATCCCAAAAGCACATCTACTTGACGCCCAGTCTACACTTAGCTTGGAGCATCCTGACTAAAGAGAATGTCTGCAGGGCTTGCCCACTGCCTGTGCCAGGCGGCCCATCTCCACACCCTCCCTCAGTGCTGAGAGCTTTATGTGGACCGTTTGCTTCGACTACAGCTGGACGTGTGCCCAAAAACAGGCCACATGTCGTTGACAATTATGTGAAGGTTTTGCCTCAAATTAGGCCAGTGCTCTGTCAACATGTATTTACTGTAGAAAAGGGGAAGCCTGAAGTCACTCGTGATCTGATCCTTCAGAGACAACCCCTTCCAACAGGCCAGTTCGGGAAGTTTTAGCCCTCGGTCTGTACGTGGTTTCATGGACTTGAAGACCTTCCTGGAAGAAGTGGTTGCCTGTTGAAGCTGTTCCTCTAATAACTGCTGGGTTCAGAGACTTTTTAGGTGAGTTAAAGGGGAACCCAGTGCTCCAGACAGTGAAGCAGGCTGCTCTGCATCGCTGTGGCTACTTCACTGCAGGGGGACCCTTCCCATTGTCATTCCTTCCATTGTCTGTTTTGGACCCAAAGGAGGGAGGTGACAAATCAGTTCACCTGCCTTTTCCCCCTTTCCTGAGTCCATGCAGAGCATTGCTGCTGTGCAGACAGACGAGAGGCACCACCCAAACACCACACCACGGAGTTCCAGACCTCTCCGGGAAAATCCTCAGGCAGAAACTCAGATGGCCAGCAGTCTTGGTCACACTGGTTCCCAGGAGAGAGGGACCCATGGAGGCCAGCCTCTCTGGAGGCCTGAAGGCAATCCCCTAAACCCGCCACTAGTGGGGGCTCAGTCTCATCAGGAGCTGAAGTGTGAAGAGCAGGTGAGTCACAGACACACCTCTGGGAGGCACCTGGCCATGAGGGATGGCGGCGTGCTCAGTGCCTCTCTCCTGGGTTTGCCACAGGAATGAATCAGTAATCTGGGCTGCCTGTCCATGCACTGGCCCCCGCTCCTCCTTTGGGAAAGAGAAGCTTGGTGGTGATGGAAGCACACCCCAAGAAGGTGCTGACAAGGCTCAGGGGACAGCGAAGCAGGCCAAGAGACAGTGACAGTGGTCACAAAGAACCTTGTGCTGTGCTGGGCTCCATGTCGTTTTGGCAGTAACACAGGTGGCCCCCTGACTGCACTTGGGAAGACTCACTAACACCTGGGTACCCAAAACAAGATTCCAAAAGTGGGCTGCGAGGGTGGCGGGTAGAAAGTAAGCGGCTGTCTTGAACTTTAAGAGCTTTGGACCTTGCCGAAACCAGTTTGGCTCAATGGATAGAGCGTCGGCCTGCGGACTGAAAAGTCCTGGATTCGATTCTGAACAAGGGCATGTACCCTGGTTCCGGGCACATCCCCAGTAAGGGATGTGCAAGCAGCAGCTGATCGATGTTTCTCTCTCATCGATGTTTCTAACTCTCTATCCCTTTCTCTCTTCCTCTCTGTAAAAAATCAATAATATATATATATATATTTTAAAAAATAGCTTTGGACCTCAAGTGGTCACTGTGATGGGGGAAAGGGGCTGCTCAAAGTTTATATGTCCCACCCAGCCCAGTGACCCAGCCTACTGCCCTCATACAAACACTCCCATCAATGCTGTTTCCACTTGGGCACACCAAGCAGCTTTCCAACTACAGGCTCTGTGCCGCCACTTAGAAAGGCTGTGGGGAAATGGAAAATAACTGAACTTTGAGCATTTACATGCAAGAGCAATTCCTTTAAAGACTAAAAACGGAATTGCCCTTTCTTCTTACTTCCTGTTGTCTAAAGCTGAGCTTTCTCCCCAGATCTGAGAGTCAAGCCTGGAAACATGCTTTCCTGACCATCCTCAATCTGCAGGCCCGGGTGGGGGCTTTGCGCTCCATGAACTAGTGAATGATGGACCTTTTCTCTGTGCTCACCTGTGACGGCATCAAAGAACTCCTCGTCCCCGTTCATGCTGGGCAGCCAGGAGCCCTGCCCCGATCTGCAGTCTCCTACTGAATCATTGCCCGGGTCTACATTGACGGTGTCAGGTGTGTCACACGGGAGCTTTGGGGGTAAAATCCAATAGGTGGTGGAGATCTAAGAGGAGAAACATTTTGACATACTTAACTTTCAGAAGTTTTATGGCTTAGAAACATTTTTCAAATACCATTTGTCATTTTTTCAATCAATCTCAATTACATCTTAGCAAAGAAATAAACTAATAATTTTATGACAAATGCATGAGCCTGGCCAGGGGCCTCAGTTGGTTGGAGCATCATCACCAACACAAAAGGCTGTAGGTTTGATTCCCAGTCAGGGCATATAACTAGTTTGTGGGTTCACTCTCTGGTCAGGGCACATATGGAGGCAACTGATCAATGATTCTCTCACATCAGTTTCTCTCTCTCCTTTCTTCTCTCTAAAATCAATAAAAAAACAGGCCTAGCTGGTTTTGCTCAGTGGATAGAATGTCAGCCTACAGACTTGCAGTGTTTCCCAAAGTGTGGTACAAGGTAACCCCCAGGGGTACGGGAAGAGTTTGGTGGGGATACGCATTGCACCGGAGTTTGGTGGGGATATGCACTGCACCGTGCTTAGCTGCGCCTAATACATCCATTTTCTTTTGACGAGGGGTACTCAGCATTACAAAAATTATTGAAGGGGTACTCATATGTCAAAAGTTTGGGAAACACTGGACTAAAGAGTCCTGGGTTCAATTCAGGTCAAGGGCACATGCCCAGGTTGCAGGCTTGATCCTGGTAGGGGGTATGCAGGGTACAGCCAATCAATGATTCTCTCTCATCATTGATGTTTCTCTCTCTCCCTCTCCCTTCCTCTCTGAAATTAATAAAAAATATATATATTTAAAACAAAACAAAAAAAAAACATGATTTAAAAGAGAATTTTTAAAAATCAAAGAAAAACAAACAAGCATATCCTCAGCGAGAATTAAACAAAAATCTTCAAAAATAATAAAATTTGGAACCCTTGTGCACTGCTGGTGGGAATGCAGACTGGTGCAACCACTGTGGAGAATAGTATGGAGTTTCCTCAAAAAACTGAAAATGGAACTCCCATTTGACCCAGTAATCCCATTCCTAGAAATATATCCCAAGAAACTAGAAACACCAATCAGAAAGGATATATGCACCCCTATGTTCATAGCAGCACAATCTACAATAGTTAGAATCTGGAAACAGCCTAGGTGCCTGTCAGCAGATGATTGGATCCAAAAACTATGGTACATCTACACAATGGAATACTATGCTGCCATAAAAAAGAAGGAATTCTCATCATTTGCAGCAACCTGGATAGAATTGGAGAACATCATGCTGAGTAAAATAAGCCAGTCAATAAAACAGAAATACCACATGACCTCACTCATTTATGGATAATAAAGAACATTATAAACTGATGAACCAAAAGATAGATATAGAGACAGTAAAGCAACAAGCAGACTGTCAAATTAAAAAAACAAAATTTGTCTGGCCAGAATGGCTCAGTGGTTGAGCATCGACCTATGAACCAGGTCAGGTTTGATTCCTGATCAGTACACATGCCCAGGTTGCAGACTCGATCCCTGGGGAGGACATAGGGGGGTGGAGAGATGCAGGAGACAACCAATGATTCTCTCTCAACATTGTTTCTATCACTCTCCCTCTCCCTTCCTCTCTGAAAGTAATAAAAATATATTTTTTAAAAAATAACAAAATTCATCTCAAAAAATATGAGAGGAAACATTTATAATACAAATATCCAACAATGAATACATCAATAAGTAATCATTATTTGAAGTTATTTTTATTTTAAAATCTTCATCTACAGCCTCTTCATCTACAGCCAAGGTTGATGTGCTCAGTGGTTAGAGCATTGGATTCGATTCCTGGTCAAGAGCACATACCTGAGCTGCTGGCCCTGGTCAGGACATGTGCGGGAGACAACCAATCTATGTGTCTCCGTCACATCCATGTTTTTTTCTCTCTCTTCCCCTCTTCACTCCCTCCCTTCCACTCTCTCTAAAAATCAATGGAAAAAATGTCCTCGGGTGAGTATTAACAAAAGTAAATTAAAAATGAAACCATCACCCAAGTTGTATAAGAAATAGTACAACGACTGGCTTGGGACAGTCACAAGAGCAGGTTAGTTTCCATTCCCACATCAGAGTCCAGACACGGCTCAGGGATTGTGCTGAATTCTTTCTCCAAATAGGCAGGTTGTTATAAATGAAAAATTATGTTAAAATATTTATTTCACATCAACAGCAAGCCAATTTTCAATTCTGGAGAAGCTGCTATATAGATAAGTTAGCTATTATCAGCATAAACCGAAACCAACTGAAATTTCCTCAAAATTATTTTGACTCAGCCCAGCTGGCATGGCTCAATGGTTGAGTGTCAACCTATAAACCAGAGGGTCATCAGTTGGATTCCCAGTCAGGGCACTTGCCCAGGTTGTGTACTCAATTCCCAGTGTGGCATATATAAGAAGCAGCCAATCAATGATTCTCTCTCAAGTCTAACAAATGCACCTTTATGTTTTTCTTAGAAAAACAGATCTAATCACTTGGGAATCAGGTGACTGGCTAAGAGCTTGTGGACCTGGAGGGTTTATGTCCACAGTCAGCTCACTAAAGAGCAGGGTTGCATGTTCTTTCTCTTCTCTATAAAAATGGGCAAGGCAACCGAGATGTAATCTTCACACAGCACAGAGAGTTCACCAATGATACAAACACTCTGGCTCCTTTTTGGAGGTTAACTATGAATTCTGAATTTGAATTGTTCAAAATAATATAAATTATATTTAATAACTTAAAAATGCATTAGCAAGCAACAATCAGACAGAGGATAAAGAGAGGACTTCAACAACAAACTAACCCAATGAGATCTGGTAGACACATGCAACATATGCGTTTTCCAGTGCACACAGGACATTCTCCAGGACATATGAGACCACAGATCCATTTCAATAGATTTTAAAAGGCAGATATACAAAGCATCTTCTCTAACCACAAAAGGATGAATTATAAATCAACAAAAGTAAATCTGAAAAGCCCACAAAGAAGTAGAAATTAAATAGCATGCTCTTAAACATGGATCGAAGAAGAAATCACAAGGGAAATATCCTTGGATAAGGATTAACAACAACAAAAGCAAGGTGGTTGAATCCTATCTAATAAAAGAGTAATATACAAATTAACCATCACTTCATTACACCCATAGGCCACACCCATCAGCCAATCAGCAGCACATATGCAAATAAACCCAACCAAGATGGCTATGGCCACAGAGAGCAGAAGGGAGGCTTGGGTTTCCCCGCCAATAGAGGAAGCCAAGCTTTCCGCCTGTCCTTGCGGGCCTAGGCCTCCACTCAAGGCTACAAAGTTTCAATGACATAAGATACATAAATCCAAACAGAAATGACAGCAGCCATGGAGCTGGAAAGAGGAGGAGGCTAGGGTTGCCCCCAGCAATGGAGAAAGCCAAGCTTTCGGCACAGATTGGCCGGCCCAGGCCTCTGCTTAAGGCTACAAAGTTTCAATTACAGAAGATACATAAGCCACAACTGATTTGGCTCAGTGGATAGAGTGTCGGCCTGTGGACTGAAGGTCCCAGGTTCGATTCCAATCAAGGGCATGTACCTTGGTTGCGGGCACATACCCAGTGGGGGGTAGGAGGGGGTGCGCAGGAGGCAGCCGATCGATGTTTCCCTCTCATTGATGTTTCTAACTCTCTTTCCTTCTCCCTTCCTCTCTGTACAATAAAATATATTTAAAAGAAGAAGAAGATACATAAGTCCCAACAGAAATGGCTGCCGCCATGGAGCAAGCAGAAGGCTTGGCTCCACTCCAGGCTACAAAGTTTCAATTGTAGAAGATAAATATACCCCAGATACCAGGGCCTCTGCTTGGGTTGCCAGGGGGCATGGCCAGCAAACCACCACAGGCCCCTCGCCTAGGCTGCCCCATGCCCCAAGGGAACCCTCACCCTGATCCAAGACATCCTTCAGGGCAAACCAGCCAGCCCCTACCATGCACCAGGCCTCTATCCTATCTAATAAAAGAGTAATATGCAGATTGACCATCACCCCAACACACAAGATGGCTGCTCCTATGTGGTCAAAGATCCTGCCCCCATGTGGACACAAGATGGCCAGTAGGGGAGGGCAGTTGGGAGGGACCAGGCCTGCAAGGGAGGGCAGTTGTGGGCAATCAGGCCAGCAAGGGAGGGCAGTTAGGGGTGACCAAGCCAGCAGAGGAGAGAAGTTGGGGGTGACCAGGCCTGCAGGGAAGGGCAATTGGGAGGGAACTAGGCCTGCAAGGGAGGGTAGTTGGGGGGACCAGGCCTGCAGGAGAGGACAGTTAGGAATGACCAGGCTGGCAGGAAGCAGTTAGGCATCAATCAGGCTGGCAAGGGAATGGTTAGGGGGTGATCAGGCTGGCAGGCAGAAGCGGTTAAAGGCAATCAGGAAGGCATGTAGGCGAGAAGTAGGGAGCCAGCAGTCCTGGATTGTGAGAGGGATGTCCAACTACCCGTTTAGGCCTGATCCCACAAGGATCAGGCCTAAATGGGCAGTCAGACATCCCTCGAGGGATCCCAGATTAAAGAGGGTGCAGGCGGGGCTGAGGGACACCCGCCCCCATGCACTAATTTCATGTACCGGGCCTCTAGTCAGTAATAATAAAGCTTCCAACAAAGAAAAGCCCTGTATTTGATGGCTTTGCTGGTGAATTCCACTATTTCAATTGGAAATAACATCAAACCTCCTCAAAGTTTTTTAAAAAATGTGGAGATGGGAAAACTTCCTAACTCATTCTATGAGGCCAGCCCACAACCACGACACCAAGGCCATATAGACACTAAAAAAAAAACACACTACATGTCGAAACCGGTTTGCTCGGTGGATAGAGCGTCGGGCTGCGAACTTAAAGGTCCCAGGTTCGATTCTGGTCAAGGGCATGTACCTTGGTTGCGGGCACATCCCCAATGGGGGTGTGCAGGAGGCAGCTGATCCCAAGTAGGGGGTGTGCAGGAGGCAGCTGATTGATGTTTCTAACTCTCTATTCCTCTCTGTAAAAAATCAATAAAATATTTTTTTTT